CGTCCTCCATGGCTACAGGCGCCCCCTGGCGAAGAACAGGCATCCCAGGGCAAGCCGTGGCTGTGCCCGCCCCTGCCCTCCCCCCCCCATCACGGCCCACCCCCAGCTCACCAGGCCCTGTTCCAGTGCAGACAAGTTTTGTGAGACCCCTAGGCTGCCCTGCCCCCCTGCGGCCTGCCCCCTGCCCATCACTCACCACCCACTCTCCCACCAGCCCCACCTCCTCCTGCCACCCAAGTTGTACCCGGGCTGTGCGGCTCCTTTAACATGTCCTGGCAGCACCTCCTGCCCCCACAGCCCTTCTCCACCCCCAGCGCACACACATGCACTCACACTTCTGCCAGCCCTGCTTCAGCCAGCAGCTGCTGAAGCTGTTGAACAGGAGGGGAATGGGGGGGGGTGCGGGGATTGGGTTACCAGAGGCTGATGGGGTGGGCTGTCACCCAATCCCTCCCCAGCTAGTCCTCCCTGGGCACAATCTCCCTCACCCACCTGCTTCCCCCCACCTCTGGCTGGCAGCCTACTGCCCTTTAAGCCCCTCCACCCCCACTCCACCCAAGCTAGAAAATAAATGTTCAAGAGTATTTGTCATGCTAAGGCCCGCCCAGTCTAGGAGAGAAAGGGAGAACGAGAGGGAGAGAGACAGAGATGGACAGAAAGAGTCATTCCTGCGCTCGGTGCCCCAGCCACAACCCACAACCGCTAGGTGTGTAGATCTCCGTGTACGTGGAGCTGGAAAGGGACTGAGTAACTCGCCAAGTCCCAGGAGAGTGGGGGGGGGCCCAAGGGGAGTCGACAGGCTGAACAACCTCAATCCATTTGCGCTATTGATTTCTCACACACTGCAGCAGGCCTGATGGAGAGGGGGCATGATAAATCAGCCCCCCAGAGACAGAGAGACTGAGTGGAGGAGGGGGAGGGGCTCCTGTGCCGCAATTTGTGGCCCACCGCGCTGGGCTTGGTGGGGAGGGGGTGCACAACAGAGGACTGGGAGACACTGAGTGGCAGGAGGTGGGGGGGGCATGTTGGGCCCAAGCCTACCTGGAACACCTCCTTCCAGCTGCATCTGCAGCTGATTGGAAGAAAGAAGGTGGAGGACAGAAGCGCCACCTCCGGCTCCATAGGCAGGGCCCTGAACAACTCCAGGGGGCGCCACTCCCAGCATAGTCAGTGTGCAACATGGCCGCCCTGGGGATGAGGCCGAGGCAGGACACTGAATTCTGAGGGACCATAATTCTCCACTGAACTTTCTCCTGAAGTTCAACCAGCCGCCCCTGCCCCCAGGCCTCAGAGGAGACTTCACTTCTGACTTCTGACTGGAAGCCTGTGGTAATCTACCCACTCTTCGGCCTGCTCCCCTCCTTCGTTGGGGGCACTGGCAAACAACCAGAAGGACATAGGCGAGGCAGGATGGGGGCTCTGGAGAGCCTGCAAAACTACATCCTAGTCCTTGGTCTGTCCTCAACTCTTCCTAGGACTGTGGACAAATCCAGGCCCTCTCTGGGTCTCTAAGATGGAAGAAGACCAGATGCCCCTTCCCTAAGGTGTCTCCAAGCCCAGGCTCATCAGCCTGTGAGCCTGTTGGAAGATGCCCAGCACCTTGATTCACACCAGTGGCCACAGGCCACTGAAACAAACCCCAACACTTGACCTCCTTCCAGCCCAGACACAGGCTCTCTCCACACGGTGGAGATTTATAAACAAACCAAGCTGGGGTTTACCAGAGACCCTGCATAAACAGGCAGAGAGGGAAATAGACCAGTAGGGGAGGGAGGCACAACCAGGTGCCGTGAGGGACCCCGACAGGAGAAAATCGGTGCAAGGGGTCTGGGTTGGGGCCCCAGTGCAGCCCAAGGACTGGTTGAGTGTCCTAGGGCAAGAGACATCCCTCTGTCTAGGCCTGTTTGCCCCTCTGTAACGGGGAGGGATTGTCTAGGCAGTCTCTAAAGCCCCTTCTGGTTCTAAGTCTAGTAGGACAGAGAGCCCTGAGGGGTCCCCAGGATTCCTCCGCCCAGCCTGGCCCATCTACCTGGGTCAGGACCATCTCTGCAAGGCCCTGCCCCAGCCTGACGCGCCTCTCTGCCCGGTCTGCTGCCCCTCTGGCTCTTCCTCACTCCTCTGCCTGCCTGCTCACCCTCACCTTGGCCAGTCCCTCTGCTGCCCCGTGCTTTTCTGCACGTCCCTCCTGCCAGGGGACAGACCAACTAAAAATAGTCCCTGTAGCCTTTCTCGCCCACAGCTGGCCAAAGAGCAGGAAATGAGGGGGGCAGGGAGGCCCGTGTCCTGCTCTCCCCCATAAACTCCCAGCTCCAAACCAAGTCCAGCACTCCAGCCTGGGGCTCCTGCCAACTTGGCCATCCCAGGGGCATCCCACACCCCTTCCCTAGGGGGAGGCCTGCCCATAAGTGCCTACAATCCTAGAGCTGTCCCTGCCCTCCGAGAGGAGGAGAGAGGAGGCAAGCAGTCTAGAGGGAAACCTTCCCAATTTCTGACAAATCAGTGCCAACCACATTGTGGGCACTGAGAGGGCAGGGCCTGGCTCCACTGACTGGTCTTTTAAGGGCAGAGGGAATTGGCATGGGGAAGTTTGTGCTGGTTTCCTTCATCCTGGCCCAGCTGGAGAGAAGACAAAATAGTGCCCTAGCCTCAATGATGCTAATCCCCTGTTCCCCAAAACGTGTGGGTACAGACATAGGGGTTTCAATGGCCACCCCCAGATACCATGGGGAAAAAAAGCTAAAAAGAAGAGCAGAAGATCTTGGCTGTCCATATGTAGAGATGGAAGCCTGGAGGCGAGAACAGGCCATGCCTACCAGGCAGGACATGTGCTGCCCCCAAGCTGAGTTAGAGGCGAGAAGGGAGGAGCCGGGGTGCTGCGCACAGGGGCTGTGGCACCCCACCCCTATCCCACCTGGGATTCTTGACGCCTCCCAGCCCAGGGAGAAGGCCCTCCCCACACAGGAGGAAGGAAACCAGCTTAGGGACTCTCTGGAGGCCTGCAGGGCAGCCCTGCACCAGGAGGCAGGCGGGAAACCCAGGAGTCCTGGCGCCCAGCCCAGAGAGTGAGTGAGAGAAATACCTTGGAGGGGAGGAAATAGCCCACAGTGAGGCAGACACACGGTGCCCCCAGCAGCTCCCAGATGTGACCTGTAAGGGGAAACTGGCCAAAGGGGCTGGATGGGGAAAGTGAACACATTTCCCAACAAGAAGAGAGAAGAAAGTGGGGCCATGGGGACGGGGGAGGGGGCAGGGCAAGCCTGGTTCTCACCCGCTGTCCTCTCCTCCAGGTCACAGTCAGAGATAGCGACATTAAGGCCACCAAAGATCAAAGAGGTCCTGGGGTTTCCCCCTCCCCTAATCTTCATTCCTTGCGTCCTCTGGCACCCCTTCCCCGGGGCCAAGCCAAGCCTGGAGTCCGTGGGCCCAAGGTGGTGCCTGGGAGGCCTGGACAGTGCCAGGGGCAGCCCTCATACCGGTCCTCACACTGGCTTCCCTCCCGCCTGCTCTCAGCCGTCACACAGATCTCAGCTGTCCAATCCGATTAGGGCCCCTGTCCAGTGAGCCGGACAAGGAGGCCACTGGGCAGGGGAGATGGGGACAAGGACGCTGAGCAGGAATGGCAGAAGGAAGGTAGAGACAGGGCTCAGGGGGAGAAGGTGTGGAGCCCCAGACGAAGAAAATCCTGGTGGAGAGATCTGTCCTCTCTGACCACAGGCTCTCTGGCGACAGCTACCACCTGCATTAGGGTAATTCCGCAGCCCTGGGGGCAATGGCCTGCCTGGTTCTGCCATCCCACAGATGGGCAAGGATGGGGGAAGGAAAGCCAAGGCAGAGAGACTGACCTAGATTTAGGAAGAGAATCCCGTCCTAGAAGCCCCACTCTTCCCCCCCCTTGCTATAACTACCATTTGCACTGGTCTGTCTGATACATTGTCTTATGGGGTCTTTATGGAGGTGTCGCTATCAGGCCAGTGGGGCTTGCTACTGATAGCCATTTTTACAAATGAAGAAACTAAGTCAGCTGTCTTCCTGGTGTGGGCCTCACTGAAATAAATTATTTTCCTGTCTCACCAAAATAACAACAACAACAACGAAGAAAGAAAGAAAGAAAAAGAAAGAAAGAAAGAAAGAAAGAAAGAAAGAAAGAAAGAAAGAAAGAAAGAAAGAAAAAGAAAGAAAGAAAGAAAGACTGAGCCTTCAGTATAAATGCACATACCCACTCACGCTCAGAATCTCTGCTTCCTGGGTCAAGAGCAGAATTAGGTCTGAAGTCGCTCCATTATCCACCCTTTCCTCCAAAACCAACCCTTAGGGGACCTGGGGAGTCATGGAGAGATGCAAAGCACACCCCATACCCCGACAGAGTTACCAGATGGGGACATGCCGCCCACTCCACCAAACAGAGAGCTAGAGGGGTTCCCCAAAAGCATGACCAGTCTTTCCTATCACTCTCTTCCCCAGTCAGCTACGCTCAGAGGCGATACACACATTCACACAGTTACTCAGACAAGTCCTACACCCCTCCTGCAAACCCACTAAACCAGAATGAGATGCCCTAGATCTTCAGAGAGCAGGCTTTGTCAGCCCCCAACTGGAGGGAAAAATCAGCCACTGTAAACAGTAGGTACCGTTCAGCCTTTTCCCAGAGAGCCTGCAGGAGGGCAGAAGCTTCAGGGACACCACCAGGAGCCTGAGGCTCTGAAAGCCAAGGAACCCAGGGAGCTGGCATGGCTGGGTGGCCTCCCGGATCTGGTCCACACCCCCTTCCCCAGCCATCTGGGCTGAGCCTGTTCTGGCCTGGGCACACTCTGGGACCTGTCGCCTTCAATGCACACAGCCACCTTTATCCAAGGCTTATAGATCTTAAAACCACATGGTCCACACCACACACACACACACACACACACACAAACACGGGGGCGGTGGGGGACTTTGCAATAGGTGCTGAGGTCTTGGCAGGGATGGGGGCTCTAAGCTGAAAGAACTTTCCCTAGAGGAACAGGTCGCCAAAAACCACTCACAACCTCCACTGCCCTCCAGCAAAGCCTTTAGCCACCCAAGTGTGAGAGGAGCCTGGAAAGGGGTATTAGATCCCCTACAAGGTGAGTAGGGAGCTGGGGGGCTGCCGAAGTCCCAAGCTCTTGGGGCTGGGAGGCCGGGAGGAAGCCCGAGAGAAATCCCCCAGGGAGGCTCGGGTCCCTCTCCCGCTCGCTCAGCTATCGGCCGGCACTGCCAATTCCACCCGCCGAGGTGAGGTGGGGGAAGGGGCATTAAGCAATACTGCAAAGGAGGGTGCAAGGGCGTGGGGCCTGGGCAGACCTTCCCCCCACTTTCCATTCTTAGCCTGAGATCCGGCAGTGCCTGAGGGGGAGTGCAGGAAGGGCGCTGTGGGGCGCGGGGGCTCCGAGCTCTCAGACACCCCACTGTTCCCAGGCCCCCACCTCCCAGGACCACAGGGAGCGGTGGGGGAGGAGGGATGGGGAAAGCCTGAACTGACGAGAGGGAAACGACCAGATCAGCAGCGGGGAAGCCCGACGGAAGGCGGCCGAGGGGGAATTGGGAAGGGGTGCGCGCGGTCCTACCTGCTCAGGTGCTTGCTGGCAGGGGGGCGATGGGGTTCCCAGGAGAACCGGGGAAGCCCTCTCAGCTCGATTCAGGATTCCCCCCAGCTTCTGGGTTAGGCTGCTGCAAGAGGCACGGGTTCCCGTTGGGTCCTAAAGCCCACTCTCCAAAGACTAGGCTCTCCCCGCCCTCTTCCACCCTCCCTGACTGGGTCAGCGGGTACAGAGCTGACTGATGGGGCAGAAGGAACTCACTGGGAGAAAGCCGGCGGTCTGAGTCATGGGCTGGGGACCGGAACAGTCCTCAGTCTCAAATACACAGCACAGGGATGACTTTAGCCGAGGATAGGATAATATTCAACAGGAGGAAAAAGACATTTCTTCCTGCCTGTCCCCGGCGGATGATTTGGGCTTTGGTGCTGAAGATGGGGGTTAAGATTTCCTTCCTTATCACTTCTGCTAAACCACCTAGGCATTGAGAATTTGGGGATAGAGGCATTCATTTTGGACAGGTGCTCACTCCTATCCTCCCCCTCATAGACATAGCACAGTCTGCAGATCCCTCCTCACTATTCCTAAATACCTAGGAGGCCACCCAGGGGAAGAGGGGGGCGATTCCCCCACCCCCACCCCCAGCAAATTACATGGCAACAGGGCGGTGAGACATGGATGACAGTTGGAGACTTGTATAGTTTCGTACCCTGGCGGGGGTGTGTGGACCTGGGAGTGTGTCGGAAGTGGGCAGACATGCACAAACAGGTGAGAGTGTGAGCAGGTGGAGCTGGGGGACTTTGAGTTACACCCATCACCAGAAAGGGCAATTGTCAATGGAAGAACGAGATGTAGAACCTAGGGGTCCACTAGGGCCCTAGTGCTGCTACCCAGCCCTGAATAGGATCCTGAAACTTTACCAGAATGAATACGGTAAAGAAAGAGAATCTTTTCCCAGGTATCATTTGGGATAAATATAGGGGGCAGAGGGGCCTCTTAGCACAATTAGATCAACTTCAAGGTTACAGACCCAGTTTAGGATAGACGATCTTCTCAGCAGCTCAAAAGGAGGCACTGGGGTTTGGGTCTGGTGAGCCAGGGAAAGATGGATGGGAGGGCTGCAGAGGGCTGGAGTGAGAATATTTTGCAAGGAGAGTTGCACAGATCTCCAGCAGCAGAGCAGGGAAAGTGTCATAGGGTGAAGGGCCAGGGGAAGTCAGGGACTGATTCGAGGGCAGGAAGAAAGCATGGCCTAGAAGGGGAGAGGGCAGCCGTGTTGCATCTACCTCTTTCTCGGTCTTTCAGGAAGAACTGAGGTAAGGAGCCAGATAGGAAGGATGGAGGCCCCAGGGTGGAGTCCATGGGGTGAGCTCAGGTCAAGCCTTTCTCCCTAACGTGCCTCAGTTCCCTCCCAGCTGTTAACCAGGGCTCTTGGTTCTTCCCAGGCAGTTAATGAGTGTTTACAAAAGAACTTGGAGATCCTCAGATCTCAGCTGGGCCGCCACAACAGTTATAAAGCCCAATAAGGCCGAGTGTTATTTGGAGAGGGGAGGAGTAGGGCAACAGGGAAACAGACTACTCTCTTACAAACTAAGGATAAAACCGAACTCAGAGAGGAGCACAAGCCTCAGCTGCCACAGGATATCCTGGTGCCCAGGGATGGAGGTCACACACCCCAGTACCTCCAACCACCACCAAAGGCTGGCCTCCAGCTAACTGCAGGCAGAACCCAGACTAGCAGCTGGTCTTCATTAACTCTAGCTTTTTTTCACCCCCCACAGTGAACCCATGGCTTCTACAGGCCTAGGCTAGAGGGGGCTGCCCTAGCCCGACCTTGCAGCTGACTCGGGGGTGGGGGTGGGGGGCACCGCACCAAAGGCCAAGTCACCAGCTGAAAATAAAGTAGAAGCAAGATTCCCTTTCCCCATCAGGAGCAAGGAGAGAGGAAAGGAAGGAGTGTGGGGATGAGAGGGTGGAGGTGGGGGAATTTAGGGCAAACAGCAGGCAGTGAAGTCAGCTGGATTGAGGCCCAGAAACCCCCACACCCTGGGGCCAAGTCTTACTCCAGCTTTGCTTTCAGCTTGAGTCTTGGCTAGGCCCCAAACTAGGGAAGGCCCTGGCTGCCCCTTTCCGCCTCCCTACCCCCACCCTTATTAAATACACATTTTATCTCTCAGCATCTTCATTATCTTAACTGAAGGAGACAAGCAGTGGATGGCGGCAGCGGAGCGTCGGGAGAGGGGGGCGGTGCCGGGAGCAGGCGCACCCTTGTTATAAAGTGCTGATCTAGCTCTTTCAGGCAGTGTGGGAAACAGAGGAGGGATCAAAGAGAGGGAGGCTGATTCAGAACTCAATTAGAGCTTTTTTAAAAAGGAGCTGGCTCTCTCCTTTCGCCAGTCTTCAGACAGCCTCTACCCAGGCCCCTTGCACCCAATTAGCTTCTACTGCCAGTGCCTTGGGGCTGGGGTTGAAAATCAAGGGAGGCCAGAGGGCACACCTTCTCCCCCTACAGAATGCACTTCTGAGAAGAGGGAGAACTGTGCTGTTTGCAGCTTTACAAGAGAATGTATTAGAGGGTACCTTACATTTTCAGGAGGAACCCCAGATCACAACTTTCCTCAGGAGTTAAAAAGTGGGACACCAAAGGTGTGTTCCTCCCCAATCCCTTTCCAATGAGAGGCACAGCTTCTGGCCAATCTCTAGGGACACTAGGAACCTCCAGACAGGCCCCCATCTTCCCAGCCCACGGGTAGGACTAGGACTATCCCCAAACCCAAGGCTTCCTGGGAGCAACATGGAAGTTGCCTCAAGCAAAATGCCACTACATCAGGAGTGATGGGTACGCATCTGTGAGGCCAATAAACGCTCCACAATGTCAAGACACATCTTGTACAATGGAGCGCCCTTCCTTTACAGGGGCCCACTCCACCTCCGTGCAGAAACACCAGCAACGTGTACCTCCTGAAGAGAACCGGCCCGGAGATGGAGGGAAAAGCAGCGCCTTCCTCGGTTCATTTGTCCAGTCATTCAACAATCGTTTACTGAATACCTACCAGGTCCCGGACACTGTCCTAAGTGCTGGGGACAGACACAAATGTAAGTAACATCTCAAACTTGGCTCTTTCTTTTGGTCTCCGTCGGTAGTCAAGGCAACACCTCTCAATAGATATTTTTGAAAATCCCCAAGATGTATCTCCATCCTCCCTCCCTTCCAGGTCTCATTGGTAGATTTTTTTTTTTAAGATTTTATTTATTTATTTGACAGAGAGAGACAGCGAGAGGGAACACAAGCAGGGGGAGTGGGAGAGGGAGAAGCAGGCTTCCCGCAGAGCAGGGAGCCCGACGCGGGGCTCCATCCCAGGACCCTGGGATCATGACCTGAGCCGAAGGAAACGCTTAACGCTTAACGACTGAGCCACACAGGCACCCCTCATTGGTAGATTTTTTTTTAAGATTATTTATTTATTTGGCAGAGACAGTGAGAGAGGGAACACAAGCAGGGGGAGTGGAAGAGGGAGAAGCAGGCTTCCCACGGAGCAGGGAGCCCGATGCAGGGCTCGATCCCAGGACCCTGGGATCATGACCGAGCGGAAGGCAGACACTTAACGACTGAGCCACCCAGGCGACCCTCATTGGTAGATCTTAAAAGGCACTTAATAAAGGCAGGGAGCAATGGAACGGGTGGGAGGGTGGGTAGCAAATAGAGCTCTGCCAACATTTTTGATCTCTGGGAAGCCTGGACCTCACACACTCTTCCCAGTTAGTTATCTAGCCACAGGCAAGTCTTCACTGAGCCAGAAATGTCAGTGGCAGCTCTGGGGTTGAAACTCACACCAAAATTTTATTGCGTCTATGTTCTTTCCATGGCAGTACCCACTAACATTCTGTGGAAGCTTCATCTGCTTCTTTGAAGAAAAATAAATCAGGATATAGACACACACCCCACCACCTTCAAGAGGAAGAATGTGGGTCAGCATCTTCGCCTCTACTCCATGTGAAACAGGCTACGATCCTGGCAGAAACTAGTAACCACAAGCCCAGCCCATCCTTCTAAAAATCCCACTACCTTCCCATAGCTCTGAGCTTCAGTGAGAAAAGCCAGCAAGAAAAGGACTTTTCTTCCTCTTCTGTCTGCTCCGAGGCTATCTGAATTACCCTTAAGACTTCACTGACAAACATACATCAGCTTTTGCTCCCACAAGGGCAGCGGAAGCCAAGCAGGGACTCTAAGTCTGCTTCACGCATCATTGACAGAACCAACCCTGCTCCAATTGCTGAAGTCTTAAGAGCAGCAATGACCTAGAAATTGACAGTGGGGGGAGAACTGAAGGAAAGGAAACTAACAACCCAGTACAGAGAAAACCCTATTTCCAAATAGCAGGGGAAAGGGGGAGAAAAGAGGTAGAGGGGAAAGAAATTTGGCCCTTTTGAATCTGCAAATGCGATCTTGGCTCCGAGCCACGGAGGATACATAGCAGCCCCACTGCGAGTTAAGCCATGTTCCTGACTCAAGCCCTACAGTTAAGAGGAAGGCGCCAAGCCTCAAACACAACGAGGTGGGGAGGCCACTCCTTTCTGGGCAGGATCTTACTGTGGACACAGAAGAGACAGCAGCTGCCCACAGTGTGGAAACAAACTGTAAAGCAGTCACGTCTCTTAAGGCTGCAGCATCCAATAAAATGTAATTTAAATCAAGCCCCGCATCTGTTCTCAATCCCATTCAGTCTCTGCTTTCCATCAGCCTTCGGACAGTCTTTGCAATTATGCTTGTTAACCCTTGTAGCCCCAGACACTCTCGGGCTCCTAGGTATGGAACTGTGTTTTCCACTCACAAATGACCCTCACAGGGAGTGAGTGCTCTAGTCAAGGTGAGAGGGCGAGAATGACATTCAGATTCAGACTCAGACTCGTCTATGGACTGCTCTGCCACACCCACTGGCGGGTGGTGTTCATTTCAGAGGGCTCTCTCTGTGTGTCCTTCTAGCCCATACCATCTGTTGCGGCCCAGATCACATTGCAAGGATACAGTGGGCAGCATGAATGAAACAGTGGCCAACAGATCATTTGTACAATATCAAGTTCCTAAACTCAAGTCATGTCAGAGAGGCCAAAGAGCTCAGGGAGCAGCACAGACTTGGTCACTGGCTCTCAGACCATTCCTATCGCACATGGTTTGCATTCCAAGCATCTGCTGGAGTTATACAACATAGCCATCTCCCCAAAGGATCAAACTTACGATTTCTCCCCCTTCCCTCAAAACTACCCCAGCCCCGCTGCCTGAATTTTCAAGGCACTCAGTGTTAGAATGGTGCCCTCTGGTGTCCCCGCCGCAAATTACCACTGAATGCCACTGGAAGCCAAACCCAGAAAAGGGGAGACTTGAGTAGCCATATGGATTAATTTATCTAATAAGACTGGAAAAATCTGAGGTTTTAGATGAAAATCCAACCCCAAATGAGGGCATCTGGAAACAAGCGGCTTCATCTGAGGGCACCTAAGGCTGTGGGACAGTCTGGGGAGAAATATTCACATTGTTCGCTGAAAGTTGGAGCTCTCTTGAAATGTGCATGCTTAAAAAGACAAAGAATGCAACTAGGAAATAAATATATTCACAATCCGTACAGTTACATTCCTTTCACCACCCCCACAACCTTGGGAGTGCCCAAGAAACTTAATGAGTCTCTAAAATGTCACAGTGTGGAAGTATGTGCGAAGTGAACACAATATACTCCAAAAAGAAAGAAATTCTTTGATCAAAGTGTCTTCAGATCTCCACGTAGACTTGCTTATTTTCCTGGAACATCCTTTTTCATTCTTCTTACTCTAGCCCCAAAGTTCTTTAAAATACACCAATGTTTGAGAGAAACTAAGAGGTAAATATAGGCACATTCCACCATATAAATCCTGTATACTGTAATACAAGCATACTGGTTCGAGACACAAGAGGTGGAGGTAGTGAATATAATTAAAAAGAGTCTACTTGGTGATTTTTAATGCATAAAAATAAGACCCAAAATTATTATTGTGTTAATATTCATCAGTCTATAGATTAAAATTTATCAGTTTCACATTAAAAAAGGTCATATTTAGGAGCACCTGGCTGGCTCAGTCAAAAGAGCATGCAACTTTTGTTCGAGCCCCATGTTGGGTGTAGATTACGTGAGATTAAAAAAAAAAAAAGGTCATATTTGTTTTCAGACCTGAATGGATAAAGTACTAAAATGAAGACTCCAGAGCTCTCAACGCCAGCTGGATACTTTCGGGTAGCATATTAGTATAAAAGAAAATAATTTAAGGCAATCCAGTAGCTAAGATATTTCCAATTAAAGCTTTGTCTTTTAGAGCATGCTCTAATTCCTTCTCTTCAATCTTCAAAGACACCTGGAAAGAAGAGAAAAGGACTTTTCATGGTGGAGAACTCAAAAAAGCCAAGTTTTTATTACATAAACTTCTACCATGTTGAACTTTTGTCCCGAGAGGCAAGCAAGTTAAACACTGCTTTTTCAATGGCCTGCAGAAAATACCTCATTCAGGGCGCCTGGGTGGCTCAGTTGGTTAAGCGACTGCCTTCGGCTCAGGTCATGATCCTGGAGTCCCGGGATCGAGTCCCACATCAGACTCCCTGCTCAGCAGGGAGTCTGCTTCTCCCTCTGACCCTCCTCCCTCTCATGCTCTCTGTCTCTCATTGTCTCTCTCGCAAATAAATAAAGTCTTAAAAAAAAAAAATTTAAAAAAAGAAAATACCTCATTCATACCACAGTCCCATCCTCAGAGATCTTAAACTCTACCTAACAAAAACCAAATTGTTTACCTAACTGTGGTCATATTTAAATAGCAAGAAAAGATAAGCTCTCCAGAACAGGACAATTAAGAGCATTGTCACAAAGAAGCAGTTAGTTGTACCTTTGTGAAGCGGGTTTCCTTGTTTTTCTTTAATCCTAAAATGCCCCTGGCCTCCAAGAGCCCTGAAAGTGACAAACACTCTGACTGGTCCACAGCTGCCACCTGCTGTTTGCGACAGACGTTACTATAGGCTTCGTATAACTGGGAGGAACAAGGGAGGACACGAAAGTTGTTTAAAAGTTCTATCTCTTGTCACCTTAGAGTCTTTTTTAAAAATGTGAATTTGCATTTGTAAAAGTTATCTGAATACCACAGTTTTCCCTCTTTTCAATAAAATCCTCGAACGGGCATTCTGTAGATATTGCCAAAACCTCTACTGTAAGGCAGAAGAGGAGCTTTATATATTTCTTAGGGAGAGATAGAAAAGAAGGGGAGGAGATGAATGGGAAATTCTCAACCACAACCTAAGGGAAATAAAATCATTTGCCTTTTATATGGGACCAGTATTTATTCTTACTGTTAAAAACCCACTTTTAGGGGCGCCTA